GGTGATTAGAATGGGGAAGTTGGAAACAAAGAGAAAAGATCCATAGTTGGAAAATATAGGCTTGGTAATGGAAATGATGCTGGAGGTCACATGATAGAATTTTGTAAGACCAATGACTTATTCAATGCAAATACCTTTTTAAAACAACATAAAAGGTGACTATACATGTGGATCTTACCAAATGGAATACGCAGGAATCAAATTGACTGTATCTGTGGGAAGACAGTGGAGAAACTCAATATCATCCCAAACAAGGCCAAAGGCCAACTGTGAAACAGACCATCAAGTGTTCCTATGCAAGTTCATGCTAAAGCTGAAGCAAGTTAAACCATGTCCACGAGAGCCAAAATATGACCTTGAATATATCCCACCTGAATTTAGAGACCATCTCAGGAACATATTTGATACATTAGAGACCAGTGACGTAAGACAGAAGAGTTGTGGGATGGCATCAAGAACATCATATAGGAAGAAAGACTGGAAAGAAAGATAGACCAAAATGCATGTCAGAAGAGACTCTGAAACTTGCTCTCCAGAATAGGGCTGACAAAATGACTGAGAGAAATGAGGAAGTAAAACAAAATTTCAAACAGCAGCTCCAAAAGACAAAGTGCAGTATTATAATGAAATGTGCAAAAACCTGGAGTTAGAAAACCAGAAGGGAAAAGCACATTATCATTTCTCAAGCTGAAAGAACTGAAGAAAAAAATTCAAGTATTAGCTTGTAATATTGAAGGTTCTATGAGAAAAATATTTAAGGACACAGAAAGCATCAGAAGAAGGTGGAAGGAATAAACAGAATCACTGTGCCAAGAAATGGTCAATGTTCAACCATTTCAAGTAGTAGTATTTGATCAAGAGCCAATGGTACTGAAGGGAGAAGTTCAAGCTGCACTGAAGGCATTGGCAACAAACAAGACTCTGGAATTGATGGAATACAAATGGCAATATTTCAACAAACTGATGCAATACTGGAGGCAGGTGTCCACTCATCTATATTAAGAAATTTGGAAGACAACTATCTGGCCAACAGATTGGAAGATATCCATATTTGTCCTTATTCCAAAGAAAAGTGACCCAATGGAATGTGATAATCATTGAGCGATATCATTAATAAAACATGCAAGTTAAATTTTTCTGAAGATAATTCAAAAACAATTAGTTACAGCAGTACATTGACAGGAAATTGTCATAAATTCAAGCTAGATTCAGAAGAGGATGTGGATATACGGATATCATAGCTGATGCTAGATGGATCCTGGCTGACAGCAGAGAATTCCAGAAAGAAATTTACCTGTGCTTTATTGACTATGCAAAGGCTTTCCACTGTATGGAACATAACAAACTATGGATAACATTGCAAAGAATGGATATCCCAGAATTCTTCATTGTACTCCTGAGGAACCTGTACATAATCCAAGAAGCAGTCGTTTGAACAAAACAAGGGGATACTGAATGGTTTAAAATCAGGAGAGGTGTGTACCAGGTTTGTATCCTTTCACCATACAATGTGTATGCTAAGCAGATAACTCAAGAAACTGGATTATATGAAGAAGAACGTGGCATCAGGATTGGAGGAAGATTCATTAACAACCTGCAATATGTAGATGATACAATCTTGCTTCCTGGAAATGAGAAGGAATTAAAATGCTTACTGATAAAGATTAAAGACCACAGCCTTCAGTATGGATTGCACCTCAATAGAAAAAAAAAAAAAAACAGGAAAAAAAATCCTCACAACTGGACCAATAAATAACATCATGATAAATGGAGAAAAGATTGGATTGTCAAAGACTTCATTTTGCTTGGATCCACCATTATCACTTATGGAAACAGCATTCAATAAATTAAACAGTGTATTGCATTAGGCAAATCTGCTGCAAAAGACCTCTTTAAAGTGTTCTAGAGCAAATATGTTAGTGTAAGGACTAAGATGCGCCTGATCAAAGCCATGGTCTCTTCAGTAGCCTCATGTTTGTGAAAGTTGGACAATGATTAAGGAAGACTATAAAAGAATCATTGAATTTAGATTATGGTGTTAGAGAAGAATATTGAAAAGTGCTATAGATTGCTAGATGAACAAACAAACCTGTCTTGGAAGAAGTACAGCCAAAATGCTCCTTAGAAGTGGATGGCAAGACTTTGTTGTACTTTGAACATGTTATCAAGAGACACCAGTCCCTAAAGAAAGGGCATCAGACTTGGTAAAGCGGAGGGTCAACAGAAAAGAGGACAATCCCCAACAAGATGGATGACTACAGTGGTAAAAACAATGTATTCAAAGGTAACAACAATTGTGAGGATGGTACAGGACCAGGCAGTGTTTCCTTCTGTTGTGCAGAGGGTTGCTATGCGTTGGCATCTAACAACAGCAACAGCATTTGTTGTCAAATAACTTATGTTGTTGTCGTTAAGTGCCATCGAACCAGTTCCAACTCATAGTGACCCTGTATAGGGTTTCCAAGGAATGGCTGGTGAGTTTGAACCACCTAATTTGTGGTTCAAACCTGCTTTGTGGTCCAGTGTTTCATCCTACAGCACCACACCAGGACTCCCTAAAATCACTTATAAAGAGTAATTTAAATAATGCTTACCTTTCTTGGCATATAACTTATGATACAAAGCAAACATCTTTTCTATGAATTGTCATCCTCCTTCCTAAGCTTGGATCAGCTTCCAACATTTAATTCTTTGTAGTTTCGATGTTTCAGTTTTCAATGTTGTGAAGTATCTCTGAGGATTCCTTTAACATTGCTGTGAGGTGCCATGGAGTCAACCCTGTCTGGTAGCACTCCTGCAGAACAAATCAGAATTGCCCCTGAGGGTTTCCTAGGCTGTAATCTCTACAGGAGCAGATTGTCGGCTCTTTTCTTCCAAGCAGCAGCTAGTGGGTTTGAATCACCAACCTTTTACTTAGTAGCAAAGCACTTAGCCACTGTGTCACCAGCTTTCCTAGAGTTCCTTTAATGGGAAGGTTTTTGCTGTTGTCATTTCATTCCTTTGTTTCTTTTCTGCACTTTCATCTTTGTTGGTCATTTTCCTCTTTTTATGATCTATTTTTGCAAAATGTCACATGAGTTTATTATTGAGTGATAAGGAGACAGTGCAACTCCATGCTCTTTGTGAGACTGTTTGTGAGACGGCTGAATAACAAATGCTCAGGAAACAATTACTGACACACTAGGAAAGAAGTGGCCAGGTGACTGATCAGGATATCTGATTTATGGACTGAAGATTTCAGATAATAAAGTTGTGCCACCATTCTCTATCCTTTCCCAAAATACTCTACCATGATTAACATAAATGTTGTGAAGTGCTGTCGAGTTGGTTCTGACCCATAGCGATCCTGTGTAGGGTTTCCGAAGAGCAGCTGGTGAGCTTGAACCATCGACCTTGCAGTTCAAATGGCTTTGCAGTCTGGTGCATTAACCCACAGCGCCACACCAGGACTCCAACATAAATATAATGCCTTCCAAATAAAACTCTGCCTTCCCTCCTACCCCTGGTACCCATTAGTAATCTTTGGTTTCTATATATCTGCTTATTTCATATAAGTGAGATTATACAGTATTTTTGAGACTTCATTCTTGAATGTACAACTCCCTACTGGTGTAGCATTGTAGGATGAGCACTGGACTGCTAACTGCAAAGTGGGTGGTTCAAACTCACTAGCCCTTCCGCAGAAATCATATACAGGGTCACTATGAGTCAGAACCAACTCAATGGCACTTAACAACAACAAGTTTTAATGAAGGACTTTGCTCCTGATCAACAGAATGGCATTGCAACTACCCCAAATGACACTGAATGGGCAGGCTTGAGCTTCCGATCTCCCAGGAAGCTTGGGTCTTTGTTACATCTGGAGACCCTCCCCCCCTGAAATTCCAGGTTTCAGGAAAATCTCCATAACCATACCCCTGCCCAATTCTCCATACCCCCGCCTATTCTAAACTCGCCAGAACTATACCCAGACTACACGGCCTATAAATACCCCAGTCTGTATGGGAACAGGTGGGCTTTTGGTCTCCTTTGGTGACATAAGAGTACCCCCTCCTAGGTTTACTCTCAATAAACCTGCTTGCTGTTGAAGCCAAGACTCTCTCCTTCGTCTCTTTCTTTCTTCTCCTTACACTTAACATTTGGACTGGAATAAATAATGGTATTTAAAACCTGTTGTTGTTGTTGTTAGGTACCATCAAGTTAGTTCCGATTCCTGGTGACCCTGTATCCAACAGAACAGAACACTGCTCCTCTGCCTAGTCTTGGCCATCCTCCCAGTTGTTATGTTTGAGCCATTGTTGCAGCTACTGTGTGAATATATTTTGTTGACACAGTGGCTTCCTCTTTTTCACTGACCCTCAGCTGTACCAGGCATGATAGCTTTCTCCAGTGATTAGTCCTTCTTGGTAACAAGCCAAGGTTTGCTAGACCAAGTCTCTCCAGCCTTGCTTCCATGGAGCATTATCCAAGACAGATGGGTTTGTTCTTCTGGCAGCTCATTGTATATCTTTGCCAGCACCATAATTAAAAGGCCTCAATTCTTCTTTGGTCTTCCTTATTCATTATCTAGCTTTCAACACATGAGGCAATTGAAAATATCACGGTTTGGGTCTCGTGCACTGAAGTTTTCAGAGTGACATCTTTGCTTTTTAACACTTTAAAGAGATCTTTTGCAGCAGATTTGCCCAATGTAATATGACATTTGATTTCCTGACTGCTGCTTCCATGGACACTGATTGTGGATCCAAGTAAAATGTAATCTGTGACCACTTCAATCTTTTCTCCATTTACCATAGGTCCATTTGTATAGGTCCCATTGTGAGGACTTACATTTTCTTTATGCTGAGTTATAATCCATACTGAAGACTGTAGTGTTTGATCTTCATCAGTAAGTGTTTCAAGTCCTCTTCACTTTCAGCAAGCAAGGTTATGTCATCTGCATATCAGAGGTTGTTAATGAGTCTTCTTTAGCTTGTCTAATACCACATTCCTGATGCCTCCTAATGGATATGCCATCTGTCCTTCTCCATTTGTGGTTGTTGTGAAGTGTCATCGAGTCAGTTCTGACTCATAGCAACCCTAATAGGGTTTCCGTGAAGCGACTGGTGGGTTTAAACCCACCTTGTGGTTCAAACTGATCATGCAGTCCATTGCGTAGTCTCTGTAATACACATGCTAAAATTGTAAGAAATATGCTCTTGAGAGCTCTGTGCATAAAGCTCAGTTATCCTCTGAGTTTTGCAGAAATGGAAGCTATGTTTAAATGTACATGAGATGGAAGGTGGCAAAATATATGGTATCAAAGCTGTTGCTCTAAAAGAATTGCATTTAAAAACTGATGTTCTGCCATGTAAACTATCACTCAATTGACAATAAAAGCGTTTTAAAAAATAGGTTTTGCTTGTATATTTTAAAGCTGTGGTGAGATGCAAAATCTTACAGATTCTTGGCAGACTGTACTTTTAACCAAATTGAGTATGATTATTTTCCCTGTCAATGTTTTTGGCCTTGAATTCTATTTTACTTCCTGTTAATATGCTAACGCTAGCTTTTTAAATGTTTATTTTAAATTTTAGAATAGTGTTATAGTCATAGTTCAGCCTTGACAAGAAAGAAAGAAATAGCAAATACAAGAAAGAGAAAAAAGGGGGGGAAATTGCATTTTAAAATAATGCATTGTCAGATAAAAGCAGCCGGGGGCTGATTGTTGTAGTTTTTGAAAATACCAATGCTTATACTATCATGTCTTTTCCTGTTATTTAATTTAATTTAATCTCATGTTGAAGGTGTGTGTATCTAGGAAACAAAATGGAATTCTGGTGTTGTTTTTCAGCCATATGCAGTTAAGGAGCTCAAAGCCGTGGCAGGTGTGATGATCACCGCATCTCATAACCGCAAGGAAGATAATGGATACAAGGTAACCCTTGGAGTTCTGACCTTCTGCTTATTTTATAGTTCTTACTTACTCAAGGAGTATGTACTGAGTATGTTTTCTTACACTGGGAGCCAGACTAGATACTGGGGACAAAAAGATGAAAACACCCAAGCTGGCCCTCAGTGAATATATAACCCTGGGGTCTTTAGTATTTCTCAACTTATATCATCATAAAAGTCACTTCAGTGGTCTTTTACTTTTATGTCTTACTGCCCTTGTTTTCCCTATGCCATCCCAAATCTAGCCTCTACCATTTTAGAAATAAGATTATATTACACCTAAAACGTGAAGAAGGAATGGGAGTTTGTAGGAAAAGAGCCAGAGGAAATACATTCCTTGACCTCATTCTCCCACTCTGATCTTCTGCCAAGGCTCCCCATGGGCCACCGGATGCATTTGATGTGCCAGCCTCTGGTGAAAATAGCAGGGTGGAGAAAGGTAAAGAGTGGCTCTGGAGGGACAAAAAGAAGATACCCAGCATTTTACAGAAGCAGTGCTTGGGGCTTCTGGGTGATAAATCCATGCTCTTGTATTTGTTTCTTCTCTGGTTTGGGAGGAGTCTTGGCATGCTGATTTCTGTTTTATAGGGAAAAAGAGCATTTAATGCTAACCCAACATTTTGACCCCAGCAAGTTGTCTTCATTTCCTGGGACTTTCATAACAAAACACCACAAGATGGGTGGCTTTGAAGAAGCTAGAGTCTGGAAGTCCAAATCAGGGTACAGACTCTGTCAGTGCTTTCTGAGGGCTTTGTGAGAGGAAAGCTAGTGGCTGCTGGTAATCTTTGGCATTCCTTTCTGACTTCTTTCTGTTTCTGCCCTTTGCTTTTATAAAATGCCACGCAGCAGGGATTAGGATTAGGATGCACCCTACTCTGATAGGACTTCATTTGACTGAACTGATCACAAAAGAAAAACCCTATTTCTAAACAAGGTCACAGTCACAGGTACAGGGTATAGGACTAAAACAGATCTTTGTTGGGAAAACACTTCAGTTCACAACACCAGCTAAGCAGATAGCTGTTACCATTCACTGAGGCAGGGATAGAGGAAGTATGATTAATTCACTTTTCTGTTTGTTTACTTTTTTCCTTTTTTTTTCTGGTGAAAATATATACTCCAAAACATTCACCAGCATAACTTCCACATTTACAACTCAGTAACACTGATTACATTTTCCATGCTGTGCTACCATTGTGGTGGTCCTTTTCCAAAATATTCTGCCACCATTTACATAAATCCAAGGACTCCCAAATAAAAACGACCCATTCCCCACTCCCTTCTACACTTGGTAACCATCAGTAATCATTTGCTTCTATATATTTGCTTATTTCATTCATGTGAGGTCGTATATATAGTATTTGTCCATTTGAGATGATTTATTTCATTCAGCATAGTATTTTCAAGATCCGTTCGTGTTGTGGCATGTATCAGAATTTCATTCTGTTTATGGCTGAATAATGTTCCATTG